GAGCCTTTGGGCTTACGGTTTAGGGCTGTTTCATTGAGGGGCTTCTTGGGACTCTTGGGTGTTGGGGTTGAGGGGTTTAGGGTTTAGGGTTTAGGGTTTAGGGTTTAGGGTTTAGGGTTTAGGGTGAGGATTTGGAAGTCTTAGAAGTCAGGGGTTCAGACAACTGAGGCGGGCCTTTACGGGGTCTTGCACAGGGATTTGAAGGGTTGTTGGGCTGTCTGGGAGCCCAAGGACGGAGACTCCTTAAGTTTGGGATTTGAGAGGCATTGCTAACCTTAACCTGGTCTTGATGAGGAATAGTCCCGTTAAAGTGTAGAAACTGATTTAGCCCGCCTTACATCCCAGATCACCCGATTCGGCGAAAAAAGGAAGTAACCGAAACCGGAACACACACAATCTACACTACACGAACAACACAAGCCTTAAGCTGAAAATCCCGAAGCGCGAAACCCATCCAACTCCTTCCCCCTAACCAACTCAACTGTACAGTGGCCCTAAACCCACTTTTAACACTTTGCCCCCCCAAACCCTACACCCGCAATGTTTAATTTTCCCTAAGCCCCGAACCCGTTCTTCCCTACACCATGTAACCTGCCCCTAAACCCTAACCAACCGAAAACCCAAAGACCCTAAACCCAAAACCCCTTGACCCTCAAACCCTAAGACCCTAGCACACTAAAATCCCTCAAATCCTAAAGCATCCGAACCCTATAAACCCTACCAAACCCCAAAGCCCCAAAACCCCAAATCCTAAAGCCCCCAAATCCCCCCCACCCTAAAGCTTCAAGGTTTAGGTTTTAGGGTTTAGGCCTTCGGGGGCACCGAAACCCTAAAGCCCTCAAGCACTACCAATAGTCTCCATCGTAGTTCCTTTTTGGGATACCTTATAAAATCCTGAATATATAATTGGCTAAACCAAAAAAAGGAACCACAATGGAGACTATAGGTAGTTTAGAACAACCCCCCTAAACCCCTAAACCCTAAACCCTAAAACCCTAAACTCTAAACCCTAAACCCCATGTTCTTGAACGAGAACCCATGGAGACTAGAGGTAAAACCAAAGGCCGGGCAGCAAGAAGAAGCTGATGTCGTAAACCATCCCCAGCTCCAGTCCTGACCCAGGAGTCCCTATTTTTGTTTTTTTTCATGAGGAGCTTATAGTTTAGGGATTATTAGGGTTTAGGGTTTAGGGATTAGGGTTTAGGGTTTACATAACTTTATTTTCTTCATGAGGCACACTTTTTTAGTTTAGGGCATAGGGTTGTTGTTCATGTGATGTTGTTGTTCTTTTGCGCTTGGGTTTGTGGTTGAGTTTACGTCTTTGGTTTGCATGTTGTTGTCCGCTGTTTCATGTAGCTGCCTGGACAGTGTTTTCGATTTACTTGCTCTGTTTTGTGCTCGTTGTGATGTGTGTCTTCCTGGGTGTTCTATTTGTGTGCTTGTGTGCGTGGTAAGATGGCAACGCTTATAGGTGTGTGCGTGTGTGTGTCGTTGATTGTTTTGCTTGTTGGCGAGGTGGGCTGGAACATGAACATGATTGGCTGTCGCTGCATCAGCAGTGCCCTTGTTCTTACAAGCACGTCCGGAGTTATGAGTTTGAAAGCCGATTAACATCGATTAACCATACACCCCAAAGACTGACCCACCCACTGCGACCCTTATTGCCAGCTCCTTGGCAGCCTTAAGTGATACCTCCATGGTTCAAGGTTGTTAGTTTGGGGCCGAGGCTTCAGAGTCGTGAACTGGCCTAGGATTGGAGTCATACGGCTTGCGGCGCTGGGGCTGCAGATGTCGGATTAGGGCCATGGCTTTTGAGTTTGGTGCTGAACCATGCCGGCATGACCCCAGTAGCCGAAGTAGAAGCGAAGGTGCTGCAAGCAGGGCAGAGTCATGATCAGCACCTTGTCAGCTGTGGACCATGCAGGGTTGAGGTTTCAGAGTTAAGGAACGCTGAACCCTAAACCGTAAACCCTAAACCGACGAGTTTTGCAATCCAGAAGCCTTGCAACCGTTGTTACTGCGCGTGTGCCCTTCTAAGGGGCCCTGAAATCTCTTATGGACTCGACTACCTGAACCCTCAAAACCCAAACGTTTAGCGCCCCTTTGCATTTCCATATATATATATATATATACACACGTGTATACTTTTGTGCGTGTATACATACGCATGTGTATATATATATATACAATAAAGCTAGGTTTTTGGTTCAGGTACCGGCACTGTAACCCCAAACTCAAACACCTGGACAGTGAAGACCAGGGAGCTTAATTAAGCTACCACAAAGAGGGCCTCACACTTGAGATCGTAAACCCCAACAGCCAATGCGAACACCGTAGCCACCTCTGCAGAAACTTGTACAACTGTTTCAGTCGTACATACACTCATGCATACAAAAATCTAGACACATAGATACATACATACTGTATACTCTAAGAACGGAACCTTCCTTCGATTTGGGCCTCACCATGTCTGGCACCCGAAATCCGTCGTTGGAGTTGGCTGTGAAAATTAACATGTGGATGTGCATGACCCTAAACCCTAAACCCATAAGGTATATCCCTGAGGGTCCATGTATCCATACAGTGGCCCCAAAGTACCTATAAAGGGACTACTTTAAGGCCAAAGTATCTACTGTTTGGGTGCATAACCCTAAACCCTAAACCCTACACCCTAAACCCTAAACCCATAAGGTATGTGGTTTCGACGTTAGAGATTCGGGTCGAACGACCTTAGAAGCTAATAAAGTTGAGGGTCGATGGGGCTTGTGCGTTTACCTCAACCCTTAGAAGCCCTGCATGTTTGGGGTTCATTGTGATGGCTTCGTTGTAAATGTCATGAGTTTTTCCGGGTGTTCAAGTATACCTCTGTAGGATTTTGGGCAGAAGTGGTTTGGGATGAAAGGTCTCTGACGGCCGAATCCGCGTGATGCAGGGGCCTCAACAACTAGTCAGAAAAAGATTCTTTTGGTTGGCAACTGTAAGGCACGTACTTCTAGAGTGTCTACAATTATAAGGGTGATATCTTTACCCGAAACCCCAAACGAGTTCAAGTCAGAAACACTCATTTGTTGCGACATCGTTCGAGCACCGAGGTCCCCCACAGGGAAACTCTGGGCCTTGAAGTAGCCAAGGAGAGAAAGTATCAAGTTTTATTCCGCAATGGTTCCTTGTTAAGGACAAAGGAGGGTTTAGGGTTTAGGGTTTTTTAAACGGTTTAGGGTTTAGGGGTTTTAAACGGTTTAGGGTTTAGGGTTTAGGGTTTTTTAAACGGTTTAGGGTTTAGGGTTTAGGGTTTAGGGTTTTTTAAACGGTTTAGGGTTTAGGGTTTAGGTACTCCAAAACTCCAACACCCAGAACGGATCTTGAGAGCCACTCAGGTCTTCGTCCAACCAGCTCTTGCCTGGCTGTCCCCTACCGACAGGGTTATTTTAGGGGTTTAGGGGTTTAGGGTTTAGGGTTTAGGGTTTCGTTTTAAGGGTACCTACCTTGGTGTTTAGGATCTGATATATAGCAAAGTAGGTACCCCAAACACCTAGGGTATGACCCTAAAGGTGCAGTTTAGGGTTTAGAGGGTTGATATAAAAACCTGCATCAGCCATACCGTTCCTGAGGGTTCCTTACCACATTCATACTATGATGTATCCCAACACCGGCTTCTTATTTCTCGGTCCCTCTCCGGGTCCCGTATATTACGGCTTAGGGGTCGAGGATCGGCCGTAGGGTTTAGGCTTTAGGGGTTCAGGGGTTAGTGTTTAGGGTCTAGTGGTTTAGGGTTAAGGGTCTAGGGGTTTAGGGTTGAGGGGTGTAGGGTTTAGGGTTCAGGGTTGGGGATCGGCCTAACAGCGACTGGTTCTAGACGGACTCTGAGGCGGTACTGTCGCTAATTCATCAGACTCCTAGATGAAACTCAGACTCTCAGACAACGAAATGTGGAAACAAGGTGCCTGCTGAACAAAATCCCCTAAACCCTTAACCCTGAACCCTAAACCGAAAAAGTTGAACCAAAACCTTGAACCCTAAACCTTGAACCCCAAACCCTGAACCCCAAACCCTGAACCCTAAACCCTGAACCCTAAACCCTGAACCCCAATTACTCAGGGCCTCCGGGTTGAGTATTTTAGGAGCCTGAACTCTAAGCCCCTAAACCCGGGTGAGGGTTGAAGGGTTTCAAGCGCTTTGGCTTAAACAGGCTCTAATGTCTCAATCGGTAGGCGTTTAGGCTTTGGGGTTTCGGGTTCAGGGTTTAGGGTATATACAGGGTTTAGGGCTTAGGGTTTAAGGTTTATAGGGTTTGGGGTTAGGGTTCAGGGTTTAGGGGCTTCAGAAGGTAATGTTGACTTCCCCAAAAGCTGTCCATGGTTGCTTGCCAAACTGGCCACGAAGAAACCTGTGCATTTCTACTGGCTACCGGCTCTGCTCGCTCTCTACTTATGCCTTTCCGTGTGCGCAAGACCGAGGAGCTACTTCGCTGCAACCCTAAACCCTAACTCTAAACCCGAAGCCCTAAACTCTAAACTCTCTAAACCCGAAACTCTGAACCCCAAACCCTTTTGGCTCGCGCTCTCTCTCTCTCTCTCTCTCCCTCTCCGTCTCTCACTTCACTTCCTCCGTGCCTTGCTGTGCAGGGCCCCAAAAATAAGCCCCGTTGACAAGAGGACCTAAGCTGAAAGTCGTTAAACCTAAACCCTAAGGGTCCATGTACCCAAATAGTAGATACTTTGGCCTTAAAGTAGTCCCTATATAGGTACTTTGGGGCCAATGTATATACTGTATGAATACATGGACCCTTAGGGAAAGTTTTGGCCGCAGTTGCGACGCCCTAAGCAAGGATCTTCAGACTTCCGCCCTACAGCACGATTCTTAAGCCGCAGAGTTTACTCCGAAGCCCGAAGCCTCACTTGGCCTCGCAATACCCGTCAGCCTAAGTACGAGTCCTTCCGAGACACTCGTCTGCCGCATGTGGGGCGTCTTGTCGCTTCAGGATCTTTCAGGCAGCCTGACCGTCGCAGCTTTAGGGTCTATCATGGGGCTGAGGTGTTTAGGGACTAGAAGACTTGAGATGTGTAGCAAAACAGTCAGCACAGACGAGCGTAGAGAACCTTTGTACTTACATATGTGTGAGTGTGTGTCTCTATGTGCTTGCAAGTTAACTTGGGCTGGAGCGCTAGCATAGGTTGTGGGGGCCATTATACTATAACTGTATTAAGGAATCCCTGAAAAAGTGTCGGTCATTATTTAGGCCCCTACGTTACCTCGTGATGCTCTTCTTGGAGGGTCGGGGGACTTAGTAAATGGTTATTTTATAGACTTATAAGTACTATAACCCCAATTAGGGTCCCTTTTAGGGTACTTATAAGTCTACTTATTACCTACTTACTAAGTCCCTAAACCCTAAACCCTAAATCCTAAACCCTAAACCCTAAACCCACTTACTAAGTCTCCCGACCCTCCAAGTTCTGCCATGCTTGAACCGGACTGCTCTGGGCCAACAATCCGGCAGGCTCTGCATCTGCCTGCGTTCTAAACTCACACTCGAACTATTGAAGTTTAGGGTTTAGGGATTAGGGGTTGGGGTTTAGGGTTTAGGGTTTAGGGTTTGGGATTTCGGGTCTAGGATTTGGGGATCGGGGTTTAGGGGAAGAACTTTTCCATCCGCCAGCCGAAGCAAGGTTTCTGTGAATCTGTATCGACCT